CAGACTGGTGTGTGTGTGTGTGTGTGTGTGTGTGTGTGTGTGTGTGTGTGTGTGTGTGTGTGTGCAGTATATCACAAACAAATTGATTAGGTGACAATATTTACAATAGTTAATTCAATAGCTTTAAAATATTTGGATAAAATGACGTCTGTGGTACAAATTTTTGATCTGGATGGGTTTCAGTCTGTTGTCAGTCTTTTATTATACTTTTTTTTTTTTTCATTTTGAAGCCAAGCATCATTATCATCTGTCATTTCCATGACCTCACAAACCCTTATCCTCCCTTCTTCTCCTCACTCTAGGCTCATGTCAGAGGGGTCTGGCTTTCATTGTGTCAGCACTGAACACGCCATGGCAGACTGCAAGAAAATATACGACAACTGCTGATTTATAGGATAATTAGGGCCTAGTATTTGTTGTGGCGGGCAGCCAAAGTACCTGACACAGGCTGGGCATTTTGCTGAAAGTGAGTGGATGATATTGAAGCTGCTGCACGCTCAAAATTTGGTAGAAGAATGTCCATATTTAAGTACTAACTATAGTTCTTTGTAGTAAATCTTGCCAATTACATGTTTGACATCTCCAGTATCTATTAGAGAGTTGAAGATTGAACCTACCTGCTTCGTCACATGATGGGACATGACACTGCCAGACAATCTAGTAGTTAATTTACTCCACCTTTTTCTCTTGAGACCCACCAAAAACAACATTGACCCAACATCTTGTTCAAAATAATTTAATGCAAATGTCTCAGTCTGTAGAAAAGTATTTCTCAGTTGGAAATTAGGCTACATTTCCATTGCTATCCGATGACCAGTGGGTCACTGGGTGCGGCTGGAATAACATCAAACTGATGTTGAAGCTGAGACAGAGAGAACTGAGTCAATTGATGAGGCCACAGCCCATTACACAAAATGACCTGAGCACCCAGTACAGTATGGTGAGAAAAGACTGCACGGAATAAAAAAATCCATGCAATCCAAGAACACTGTTTGGAAAATGAGTTGCGTGAAGGGCGGCATGGTGGCGCAGTTGGTAGAGCTGTTGCCTCCCAGCAAGAAGGTTGCTGGATCAAATCCCGGCTGGGGGCCTTTCTGGGTGTAGTTTGCAGTTTCTCTATGTGCATGTTTCCTCCCATAGAGCAAAAACATGCATGTTAGGCTGATTGGTAACTCTAAATTGTCCCTAGGTGAGAGTGAGAGAGTGAATGGTTGTTTGTCTCATTTGTCTCTATTTGTCCCTGTGATGGACTTGCGACCTGTCCAGGGTGTCCCCCACCTCATACACGGTGATGGTTGAATATGGGCAGCAGTGACCCCCATGACCCGAAAAGGAAGAAGCGGGTGGATGGATGCAGTTTCATGTGTTAAAAATCATTGTAAAAAATATTCCCATCTAGCTCTGATGATGGATCTGCCTCACTCAGTTGCATAAAACTCATAAAATCACATGGATGATGATTTCCCATTGATGTTTGTACAAAGTATTCCGGCTATAATGTGTTATTATACCTTGGCAGCCAGGCCTTCTGTCGGTGGAGGTAAATCCATCAGGGCATATGCAGGAGTAGGAGCCCTTGGTGTTCAGACAGTTGCCTTCTCCACAGATCCCCACAATGGTTAAACACTCATCAATATCTGTCGCAAACAAGCACAAATAGATTCACACAGCTGTGTCAATATGCCAACTTGTGGTAAGCCACAAAAAATAGCCAACCACAAATTACATATTTCATGTGTGTGTATAAATACCCCTGCATGAAGTCCCATCCACTAGCTCAAGTCCAGATGGGCACAAACAGCTATAGGAGCCAATGGTGTTGGTACACTGGCCTCCCTGACACAGGCGGGTGTCCTCACATTCATTCACATCTGCATTTCCACATACACAGATGTCAGCGCTATGACACATTCAGCTGTTAATCATTTGGTTTCACTATAAATCAAGACAAAGAGCTTCCAGACCACACTGTCAGAAAGCTATGCATCATTGCTTATAGAGGGTCATACAGTGCTGGAAGAGATGACTGTAAAATCAATCATGAATTTTAGTGGACTGGACTGTACCTTCACATGAGAGGCCATTGTGTGCGATTGTAAAACCTGGGTCACAAGCCATACAAGAAAAGGAACCTTCAGTGTTCACACAAACACCTGAGGGACAAACACCTGCAGCTTGGCACTCGTTTATATCTAAGACACATTGGAGAAAACAAAAAGATTAGATAGATTATCATCTGAAAGAACCTCAAAGAACCAACTTTATTTTTAAAATCTGTTAAAACATGTAAATGGAAAAGTGTGACAGCTGAACATACTGCTTACAGCAAGCAGAGCAGTTTTTATTAGATATGACTGACAGTGTTTTATTAAAAAGAGTGGAAAGATAAGTACTGGTATGTGGATGGTCATTAAATCTAAACTAGCAAGCTATTACAGGTCACATATAATTATTACATCCACAAACGGTCACCAGATTGCTGGTATGTGATCATCGCAAATTCCTAAACTTGGTGTAGATTGTATGTTTTTGAGGAGAAAATATTGCGGGGCTCTTGTTAGGTAAATGAGATGGCTCCTTTTTGCCTTCAGGTAAAGTTCAACATGGCAAGATCACTACAGTGCCTGGGACACAGGGAGGTGGTTGACTTCATTTTAAATTAAGCCCCTCATATTTTCCATGGCATCAGATAGATCCATTAAAATCCTATAAAAGACTAAGTTGGACTTGGTTTTATAAAATCATTTCCCAGAGCAAAGATACATATCAGTGGGGGATCTTCCTCTCAGGCTAGATCCACACTCCCATTGAAAAACACACCACAGTATATAAAACTAACTGAGACCACGTTGAAAAGTCAGTTTAAATAATCATTCCTCTGTTGCTTCCCATGAAGTCATGACACATCTAACCTCACTGGATTGGTGAAAGCTGCCATTTTATTGCACTGATCTCACAATTCATGTCAAGACAAATTACTGAGCACTGAAGAGCTACTCATATTTCAAGGCTAATATGTTCCTCTTTTCCTTGCCGTCAATGAGTTTGTTTGAGCATAAGTTTACCATAACAAAATGTGGCAACATTTTTACCTTCACAGGTGCGACTGTCCTCAGACAGTTGAAAACCAGCTCCGCAGCTCCTGCAGGTGTAAGATCCTGGTGTGTTTAAACACAGCTGGCCTGGACACAAGTGAGCCACCAAGCACTCGTCCACATCTGGACACAAACACCCACACAATTGACAGTACAGATAATTATCTGTGGTTTTGAATAAATAAAGACTGCCAGTTGCATTCAATTACATGATGGGTAGGTGAAAAAATGAGATCTTTCATTTGCCTGACATCATTTTGTTCTATTTAAGGTTTGGTATCTAATAAGAGGCAGCGCCAAAATTCAGCCATGATGTGATGGGTTGAGATAAAAAGCCTTTTTGGTTTAAGCTGTTACTGATTGATGCTTCGTCAACACTATCCAACATCAGCACAGATTTTAACTTTTTCATTACTCAGTCAGTACCGCATTTCAATTTTCTTTTTTCTGGCATATTTGACTTTAGTTAAAAATCAGTTGAAAGAAGGGACAAAGTCTGTCACGTCTGACCTACAACCACCAAAGCTCAAATAAAGACACAGAGCCTTACCATCACACTGTTGTCCATATTCAGAAATTCTGAAACCCGGCTGACAGATGACACATGTGAACGAACCGTCTGTGTTTGTACATGTTCCCTGGGGGCATGTAGTGGGAAGCGCACACTCATCAATATCTGTTAAGGAACAATTAGACATTTACTGTAAGTCTGGGCAGCCTTTACAGCCAAGGAAAATATTTTAAACAAGTATTTTTGTGATTAGAATTAGCTCTGAGATACATGGAGTGTTGAGTTTTTAGGAGTAGTGTTAAATAAACCGACCTTGACAAATTTCTCCATCTAATGACACTCTGTAGCCTGTGGGGCAGTTCTTACAGGTGTAAGACCCTTCTGAGTTTAGACAGATTCCATTGGCACAGGTAGACAGGGACCGGCACTCATCAATATCTGCGTAAACCCACACATGCATGTATGGTTTTAGTAAAGCTGAATAATATTTGGACAAAAATCAGATAAATAGCAAAGAAAAACGTAACAGCGAACTCATAAAGTACAGATGTGTCGAGCAAGTCGTTAACAACACTAATGGTTTTACTGAATGAAAAGCTGGAGGTTGAATTTACCTTCACAGCTCTGCTGGTCTTCAGATAATCTGTAACCAGCTTTACATTGGGTGCAAGTGAAAGATCCCACTGTGTTGGCGCACACCCCTCCAAAACACAAATCACCCTGAGAACATTCATCAATATCTGGAAATGGAAGGAACAAACTCCCAGAAGTAGGCAAACAATTCAATGGTATCACTTCAAGACCTGTTCTTACCTTCACATATCAGTCCATCAGTAGATGGTCCAAACCCAGGCCTGCAGGTCTGGCAAGTGTAGGAACCTACAGTGTTGATACAAATTCTCTCAGGGCAGGCAGTACCAGTTGAGCACTCGCCGACATCTAGCAAAAAGAAATGATTCGCAGACATTATTCTGCTTCTGGGGGAGCTCCATAAGTGGAGAACCACTCATGCCGTCATGAGTTGTGTTTAATAGCACTGGGTAATTCTTTGCAGACCTTCACAAGATTTGCTGTCTGAGGTGACTTGGAATCCATGGTTACAGATGCATTTGTGGGTGCCGTCCAGATTGATGCAGTGGCCGTGAGAACAGACTCCCGGAAGCAAACATTCATCTACATCTGGAGAAAAGATACAGGGGAAAAAAGGAGCGACTCAGAAAATAAAAACAACCACAAACTCTTTGTAGCAATTTTTTTTTACAAGCTTTCAGTGGTCCCTCAAAGCTTCTGCAGTAGCGCTACAGAGAACTATTCACAGCGCTCTGACTTGCAGCATTTATAGAGTGCGACTGACCTTCTGACAAACAGTTACCTTGGCAAACATTGTCCAATGAGAGTTTGTAGCCGTGGAAACAGTTGCACCTATAGGAGCCTTCTGTGTTGATACACCGACCACGGCTGCACACAGTTTGATTCAAACACTCATTTACATCTGAAGGCAGAGAACAGAGGGAGATTTTATGCTTTATTTTACTACAGCTGCACTGTAAACTGAAATTACAAATACATCTACCAACATTTTTAATCAGTTTTGCATACAAGAGCACATAAAAATTAAAAATGTGTTTCCAGTTTTATAGTTGTGGTTTTGTTTCGTTGCAACAACATGGAGAAATAATTTGTGATCTTATGGCAAAATCATGCCTTTCCAGTAGGAAAATGACTAAAATTTGGGGAGGAAAAAAGGAGTGGGGGCGTGCAGTCTTTTCAAATAAATGTGTGAATTAGGGGTGCACCGATAAATTAGCCGGCCGATCTCCTTAATTTTGGGAAACTGGAAATCGTCCAATACTTGCATGAGATCTTACAGATTTTTTTGTTTGTTTTAACAACAATTGTCTAAACTTCATTTATATTTCAGAGCACTACCTCATGACCAGTTAAAACAAGTTTGGATTGTTTCTAGGATATTATTCAAGGGTATATTTTTCAATAGTGGTTAGTACTTTTGCCTCACAGCAAGAAGGTCCTGGGTTCAATCCCTGGTTGGACCCGGGGTCTTTCTGGGTGGAGTTTGCATGTTCTTCTTGTGCTTGCGTGGGTTTTCTCCAGGTACTCCGGTTTCCTCCCATAGACCAAAAACATGCATGTTAGGCTGCCTTCAGGCCCAGGCCTCCCTTGAAAAAAGAGATCTGTGATCTCAATGGGATTTGTCTGGTTAAATAAAGTTTATTATTATTATTATTATTATTATTATTATTATTATTAATAATAATAATAATAATAATAATAATAATAATAATAATAATAATA